TTTGATAGCTATTCCACTTGCAGCATGCAGACTAAAAGGAAACCCTGACATATGGTCAAAATCATACTACTGTCCTCTGGATTCACCTTAACTATAAGGAGCAGCACAAAGCTCCACACAGATGAGTGGCAATGCACAATAGAAAACTGTTTAAAAGCTTAAATGCTGGTATGTTCCAAAGTAGTTTTTACAAGTATCTAGCAAGAAACACACATTTCCTTTTTTCTGTTGGATTTTCATTCAGATTTATAGTTCAAGGCTAGATGTGGGCATGGAGGTGGTAGCTGCATTGTTTCTGAAAAACCACTCCATTTGGCGCATCCGTGCAAAGAATTCTCTCACCATTTTGCTACTGGTCTGTTGCAGAGGGTGGGGTTAGGGAGCTGGGAAGCAATCCAAAACAGCATCTGAAGCTGCCCCAAACCGTGTCCATGCAATAATTTCCTCCATTTTGGGCCAAGTCAATTTGCCCAGACAAAAGGTCGAATGTCTTTTGGGGAGGAGGTAAATAAAAAGGGTATTAGAAATCAGCAAAACCACAGCGGTTTCATCTTGTGTGAATGCTAAACGATTTGTATGCTAAGTGTGTGAGGGGCAAATGAGAACCCTTATTCTCGAGTCTACAGCTGCGGCACTTTTAATGACGGATCTGCAGTTCTAGATGGGGGAGAAAAGACAAATGATTTTCTTATCCAGACCATCGTTCTACATTCCTTTCGGGCCAGGCCGTGACCAGTCTCGTTAACTACAGCTGAGGCAATTCCAAACAAAGGGGAATAGATACACTCCAGAGGGAGAGGACAAGGGAATGTGGCCTTCCGGTTCTCGCGCCAGGTGGCCCTCAGGGTAGAGCGTGCGGGTCACGAGGAGGCAGGGTCCCGCGAGCGTCGTAGGGGTGTGGCTGGGAGACGCTGGGCCCAGGCGCAAGCCACCACCAGGGTAAAAAACCCCGCCCTGCCCACTGTCAAGGTTAACACGCGCACTGGAGGTACCTGTGGAGGTCTCGCACAGCCGAAAGGCACCGGGCGATCATGGGAGCGCCGAGAGGCGGCGACGGCGAGCGTGCTGTCCTCCGGTTTGGGGGTGAGGGAGGCGGGGCGCCAGGGAGCCGAGAGGTGGCCTAGCCGAGAAGGCAACAGCGGCTGCGGCTGCAGCGACCGAGGGAGCTGCTCGTCCTACGCGAGCCCTCCCACGTGCGGCAGCTCCACGCCGGCGCCCACTTCAGGCACCGCCCCCCGCACCGCCCCCCG